TGCATCAGGACTAGGGCATTAAGCTATATCAATATTAGATAATCAAGTCTATAAAAAAATTATCAACCACACATTTTTCTTAATTAGTATAATTTTTAGGTTTGATGCACTAGAATTAGGGTTGCTGGTGCAGGGCACTTGGCAACGCCAATGGTGCACCATATTGGTGCACCACCTAGCACGCCAGTATAAACATGGCGCAAAAGTGGTGAGCCAATTATATTTATTTTATTTTTTATTATTGATTGGCTTAAAAGTTTTGTATTAACACTACAAATATTATAAAATAGTGATCTTTATAATAGCTTCAGAGTTCCATAGAGGCCCGGAAGCTAATATATTGAGGTTTTGCAGATGCTGTAGACTGCTAACTTGTATACCCTCTATGATTTATACCAGTGATATTTAATAGCTTAATTTTAATCTATACCCAGGTACTATATATTGTATGCTTCAAAAAAAACCCTGATGATATTTATGTACGCAAATACATAAGTATATTGTAGTTTAAACAATATATCCCTCTGCTTAAGTACCCAGATACAGTGCTACATGGTCAATGTAAATACCGGATACTACGTAGTACATAAAGTATTATATAAAAGATGCCAATACATAAACTGTAATATCTATTTACTTTCTTATTGAGACCTATGTCCTTGTTTACTTACAGTAGATTGTAGCCTAAATACGTACTATTCATTCTCTTATTTCCAGCTACAGTTGTTAAAAAAAAATTAAGTTAATAGCGATAAAAGAGAATTAATATTAGCTGATAATTTAATTTCAGTTTTCTTTTTATGTATATAAATAATAACAGCTGAATATTGGTTTTGTGCTACTTTAGCCTCAAATTTACGATCATTTCTTTTGTACTAACACTGTTCAAATACTACATGAATTACTTACTAGCTGCCTTTTTAATTACTCATAGCTTAGTGCAAACAATATTACTAACTGCTATGACTGATCAAGCAGCCTTTGTGTTATTATGTATATAATCTTTAAACTATGATCATATTTTATTGCATGCATAACTGTTTCTAATTTCAAGACTACATTTTCTCAATGCATTTGTTGATTTGTCATATCTGGGTAGACGGGTAAGCACCTAATTATACAAAGCAGGCAATAGCAAAACCAGAAAATTGAAGTTTTTTTTAGCTTATATGTTATGAATTTCTTGATTACAACATTTTTTGTTATTTATTTACAGTGCACTTTTTTTTATTTACAGCACTTTATACTAATCTCTTATAACATTTTTTATGCAAATAACTAATTACATCACATATCGATAGTTTTTAAATTATTACTTATACATATATTTTTTGTTCATACATTAATATATACGTATCATGCATGATAGATTATAATAGTCATGTGATGTATACGAAACTATTTGTATAATAATTATTAAGAAAGAATTTTATTTGCATACCTTTTTGTTTCTTTTCGTTACTTTATTATTTTATTTATTTATTTGTTTATTTATTGCATAGTATTATTTTCATTATGCATTCAGGTTTTAAATTCAAAATTTAAGAAAAATATGTATCAAGGAGTTGATCATTTTAAAGAAATCTAAAAATAAAATAGTTAGCAAATTAATTGATTAAAATGCATAAAAGAAGTAGAAAAAGTGATCTTGTAAAAAGCAATTGTTCTTTGTCTTCAATACTTATAGTAAATTTTTTTAACCTCAAGTTCTTAACACATCGTTTGATTAATTCTTTAAAATTAACACTATATTCATATAAAGTTATATTACTATCCTTTTTCAATATTATTTTTAAATCATGAATTCTGAAGATATTGTAAATTCCGAAGATATCATGGATTCTGAAAATATTACTGAATCTGAAGATTTTATTGAATCCGAAGATACTTTGGATTTGGATGAGGATTTTATATCTCCACCTAAAAATTTCAGCACTCATTGGACAGGCTTTTTGCATTCAAAACAATTAAAAAATGATAAAGCCCAACGATATAATGCAAAATGTACATATTGTGCCCAAATATTTGAAGCATGTAAAGAAGCAATGACAAATCATATACTTAATCTATGCCGTAAAATTTCAGCTAAAAGTAAAATACTTTATTCACATACTGTAAACAAAAAAAAATCCGAAGAAGTTACTGAAGTTCCTACTTACAAAGCAGTTTTAGTAACTGATTATTTTGATAAAGCTATTTTATCATTGGAAAAAACCAATGAATTATATACTTTGTTGTTACGAGCATTAGTATATAGCAATATTTCATTTACCTTTGCTGAAAATTCATTTTTTATTTTATTTTTAAAGTCTTTACAATCAAGCTATAGTTCACTATCAAGATATAAATTATCAAACAATATAATTCAAACAGAATATGCACGAATATTAGTAGAAATGGTTGATTGAATTAGTGAAATATCTGATTTAACTCTTTCACTTGACGGATGGATGGATGTATCTAATAACTCTATATATACTTTCCTTTTACATAAATTTGGAAATATTAATGAAATTATTAATATAGAAGAATTTTCTAGTATTCAGCATACAGCAAGTAATTTACTTGTTGCAATAATAAACTCATTGCAAAATGTCTTTATAGATTTTAGTAAGATTATTGCTATAGTTACTGATAATCTTTCGGTTTTGATACGGCTTCGAAAGAATATTTCAGAAAAATATCAATATGTTATTGGTATTAAATGCTGCTTGCATATTTTTAATTTAATAGTAAAAGGAGTTTAATCATATCAGCAATATCAAAATACGATTAAAAAAAATTTAGTATTAGTAAATTTTTTTACTAGTTCACATTTTTGGAATACGAAGTTAAGAAAATGGGCTTTAGAAAATAATATTAAAACTGGATTACAAACTTTTTGTGAAACCCGATGGTATTCACTTTCAAAAGTTTGTCTTTCAGTTCAAACCTATGAAAATGTGTGGTTGATAATTTTTTTATAGACTTGATTATCTAATATTGATATAGCTTAATGCCCTAGTCCTGATGCA